AAAACAAACAAACAAAACCCCTCAGTCTTAGAAAAATGACACATTTAATTTCCATCATTTCTTACATACATGAAGGGCAGTGGTTATGGTTACAGAGTAGGTTAGGCACGCTTGTCAGCATTCTGTGGACACCATAAGAAGCTGGCTTGCAAATGCAGGGATAGAAAACATTAACCATTAACCTTTATGTTCCCAGTATAAAATGTACTCTCGCAATAACTCACACTAGTTATTAAAAATATTAACAGTGGGCTTTGAGAGACTGCTCAGCGGTTACAAGCAGAGGATCCAGGTTTGAGTCTTAGCACCCACATCTGTAACTCCAGTTTTAGGGGCTCAAACTAATCTACCCCAATCAGCAGTGATGTTAACCTAAGACAAAGAAAGTAGTGGGGGAAGAGCTGAGAAACAGAACAATGGCTTGAGAGTCAGGCAGATGGAGCGCAAGTCCAGCTTCGTCAACTGCTAGCTGCTTTTTTTTTTTTCCAGATGTGTGCTTGTGTGTATGTGGAGGCCACAGGTCAGCATCAGGTATCTTCCTCGCTGTCTCTCCACATTATTTTAAATTTGTATCTACTCACTGTGTGTATGATGTGTGTGCATGTACAGGAAGGTCACAGGACAGCTCTGCGGAGCCAATTCTATTCTCCTATCTTTACATGGGTTCTAGGAACTGAACCCAGGTGGTGAGGACTGTGTAACAAGCTCTCTTTCCATTGAGTCAGCTCTAGCCCTCCACCTTACTGTTTTGAGACCGGGCCTCTCACTGAATCTGGACCTCAATTATTAGACTGACCAGCCAGCAAGCTCAGGAGATCTGCCTGTCTTCCTTCCCACAGAGGTTCTCTGGCGCTGGCTTCTCGTGGGTACTAGGGACCGCCCCCCCCCCATGTTTACAAGGCTGGCACTTTCCTCATTGAGCCGTATCACAGCCAAAGCCTCTAGCAGTACCACTTAATGTAAGTGAACATACTCAAGCGAGGGAAGAAAGGAACTTTTTTGCTAATCTAAAAAATGGAAAGGGCTAAAAGATGCCTTCTATTCTACCATCACTTTAGAGTATCATTTTACAGCACTAAACTGTCCTGTAGTCGTGTGAGATAGGTATCAATCCTGACGTCCACTAAAGCTAGTATACCAGTCAAGAGTTGGCTTGGGTCCTATGGAAATGCTTCAAATCCTTGTTAGGAATGTTTGGGTTGTCATGAAAGCCTACTATACCCAAGTTTACCAGGAAAATTGGGTAGGAATGGGTTAATTACCTTCATCCTTTAAAAAAATCAGGAGTGCTAATAAAAGTAAAGCTTTGAAAGACTCCAGTTCCAGTCCTTCGCCTACCCATGGCCATCATTAATCACTCCCTGAGTCCACTCAAAATGAATCTTGTTGGCTAATTTTAAGCAATCTGTGTTAGATGGTAACATGGCACATCACTGCTATATACTTATCTAAGTACCACTTACAATGCGACATTAATACATGTATTCAAGCTGCACGCGCGCGTGCACACACACACACACACACACACAAAACAGAGTACTGGTTTTAAAACCAGGCACTCAGATTTGAATTCTGGCTCCATCACCATGAAGTTGTGACCAAGGACAAATTAAAAGTCACTTAAGCTAGGGCTGGAGAGATGGTTCAGCAGTTAAGAGCACTGACTGCTCTTCCCGAGGACTCAGGTTCAATTCCCAGCCCCCACATGTCAGCTCCCAACTGTCTGTAACTCCAGGGATTCCGACACCCTTACAGACATACATGCAAGCAAAATACCAATGCACATAAAATAAAAATATGAAAGAAAATCACTTTAGCTCACCGAATTTGCATGTCTACAATAGACAGATAACATCTTCCTTTTTAGTTATTACTAACATGGCACAGACAATCAATATAAAGTACATAATGGAGTGCCTGACACGTAGTGAGTGCAGGACCAACAGCAGCACTGGCTACTACTGTGTGAGGTTATGTGAGAACAACTCCAAATCCTTCACACAGCAGCATGTTAAACATGTGACCACAAGCAAATAGGTGCTTGGATTCAAGTCTTGATCATTCCTTAAAAACACTGGTTAAGTTCTTTATGCAGGGCACAGGGGAGGTTTTCCCATACCATATGGAGTCTCTAGTGTACTTACCACCACCTCGACAGGCATTCCTTAATTCCTCAAACATCAATTTTTCCAGTGCATCATTCACATAAAATACTCCTTCAACCTGATACAAAAGAAAGGCAAAGAAAACAAAAACATCGTCTAAACCCAAGTTCATCAAGTACAGGTGCAGTGGGCAGAATTATGTACTACATGTAGTGTTTATATTGCATTACTCTGCATCAAACTCCCACATTACTTCTTATAAGAGAAGAACTTTCAATCATAAACTAAAAGATTTTAGAGTATTTCAGATCTGGGTTCAAATTAGGAATGTTCAACCAGTGAAATCTCAGCAACTATCTCCAAATAAGAAAAACTCAAAAATCTACACCACCTCTGGTTATGAACATTTAAGATAGGGACATTCAACCTGCTACTTCCATGCTCGCAAATTTCTGAGGAGGTATGTCTATTATGACTTTGCTATTTTGTAACTTACACATTATAAAAAACACCACATGGTCCTAAATAATGTATAATCTTCATGTGCCAAGTAAAAAACTAGCAAGTGAATCTACTAACCAACTTATCCTTCTCCCGGGAAAAAAAAATAAAGGGAAAATACCATTGTTTTATGTATCTTTCCAGTATCTTGCCAAGTGATGTGGGGCTCAAAGACATTTGATAAGCTTTGCCTAGTGTCAAATTAAAGGAATGGCTAAAAGGAAATTTTGTGATTTTTGAGAGAGTCTTTCTTAAGTTGCTCTGGCTGGCCTCGTATGCATCCTAGATTGTCCGCTGACACAGTAGTATCCGCTAATAGGAACTTCCACCCTCAGCCTCCAGTGCTGGGGTTACAGGCCTGGGCTACCATGCAAGGCCTAACAAGAGAAACTTTTTACCAAGACAAAGACGGCAAACTTTTATTGCATTCGCACGGCACTTAAGGGACTGAGTCACTTAACACACGTGTCAAAACCTCACAAGTGTTTTCTTCCTCTAACGGAATCCAAGAGCACAAACGCCCACGGACACAGAGAGGGCAGGGTTTCAGCCCCTGGTCTCCCGCTCCCAAAACTTCAGCTCAAACACATGATCCAGGCAGAGAAAACGAAGGGGACGGACACGGAGTCGGGCTGTCTTCCCAGACGGGTACAGACGAGTCCTAGGGCTTCCGCGAAGCGCGTAGTAAGAGGCGGAATCTTGCCGCTTGTCGCTGTGTTCAAAGCCGATTCAATCCCGGCTGAGAACGTTACCCAAGCGACTGCCCTGACTGCAGGGGAACGATTCCAGGCTAACAGTGCCACCGTGGAGAAGACCGCAGTATCTCGGAAGACGGGGCGTGGGGCAAACACGCGTGTGCGGCCCTGTCGCGCGGGGACCGGCGGCGCGAGCTGGGGAGGGAGACGCGGACCCCGCGGGGGTCGGCCCGGCCGGAGGAAGCCGGTTCGCGGCGGAAGCGCGGTCCGCAGCCCCGGAGGCCGCGGCCCCGGCCCCTCACCTGCATGTTGGGCACGAAGCCCTTCTTGATCCGCCAGCAGTTTTTATTAATCTTGTCCAAGAACTGCAGCTCATCGTTGTAGTTGCGACTCATGGTGGCGGCGAAGGCGGCGGCAGCCCGCGACTCGGTTCGCAAAGAGAAGCCGCCGCGTTGTCCACCGGCTCCGCGCAGCCGCCTCTGAGGACTCAGGGCGCACGCGCGTCCCGCTCCGCCGCGGGAGGGAGGAAGGCAAGCGCCGAGGCTCAAAACTCGTCGCGCAAATCGTGGTCCTCTCGTTATGATGTCTTCCATGAGCTAAAGCTAAACCACATTGCACATTGTTTTTAGTGAGATCTGGCTAAACTACCCTTCTGGTTAAAAAAAAAAAAAAAAAAAGGTAAGGTCTCAGTATTTAGCCTTGCTGAGCCTGGAACTCACTATGATTCGCTGGAACATGCTGGCCTCGAACTTCGTAAGATCCACTTGCCTATTGCTGCTGCAAATAAAGGCGTGCTTGGAAATGTTTTTAAGCAGCCCCCGAAATCCCTTGAATCTGGATCAGTTCAACTGCTCTAGAGAATACATAGTTTGTAGTTCACAGCCCCACTGGTGAAGCAGCTGAGCTAGACAAAATACTAAGGAACAGCATTTGACTTGTAATGTCTCAGAATGGAACTGTGGACATACAACAAACATTTTCTGTTACAAATGCCTGCCTTGCAATGCCCTGCAATGCCCTGCAGAGGTGAATAAGTTACAGCTGCTGTGGATCGCTGGGGTTTCTTAGCCCAGCTCTGTTTGGAGTAAGCCTTGTGTGGCTGTGTCTTTAACACAGTCGACTCCCACTCCGTTACAATAAGAGAGCTTGCACTGGTTTGTTCCTAGTCCTGTTTCCTGTGAAGAAAAGCACAGCAGCTATCAGGAAGACTTGGCCTCAATTTCCACCGATGCCATTACCAACCTCTTAACCTCTGTTTTCTCATCCATGAAATGGGATCATAATTCTCCATAGAGTGGCTGTGAAGGTCACAGGAATGAAGCTGGGGGAGCAGCCAGACCAGGGCTTTAAGCACTTAACAGTTATCTTCTTCCCCCTAATAACCTAAGCAGTAGACACACAGAGGGTGTGGTTTCTGTTCATTTTTACGTATCCATCCTGGCTCTCCCATCCATTCCCCGGTCCATTCTCACCCAGCTGTGAACCGTCCAGCTTTAGTAAGCTGCACTGCCATTTCTGTTCAGTCCTTGAGAGGACGCATCCTCAGACAAACAACACAGGATGACCACAGGGAGACTTAAGAAGCTAGCAACTCCCTTTTAATATTGATATTTGTAGAACATCAGTCTTTGCCAAAGTTAAAAACAAGTCTTTTCCGTTTTCTGTCATATTTTATTAAAATAAATTCAGGACAGGAGCTTTCACACACAGAGACTGACATTGATAGAAAACAATTTTAATTAAGCACAGGGCAGTAATAGTAAACATAAAACACAAAATCCAGCTAAAGAAGAAAGTCTCTGAAAAGCTGACATGATACACACACACACACACACACACACACACACACACACACACACACACCTACTGGTACAAATACAGACAAGTTCCTTACCCACCCGGTCAGATCTGCATCCTCACTCTTATCCACGGGTTAGAAACAGGCACACAACATGGTTACATACTGACGTACATGCACCCTCCTCCCACTGCCTCGGCCCTCTTGGGCCCTTTCACTCAGCTGGCCTCCTCACTCTAGGTCTCTTAGGGCTCCAGGGAGAAACTATTTCACATGGGCTTTTTTATATCCAGGGTGCATGGCCTTCATCTTCAGGTTTACAGTTTCCATGGGACCCCAGGTTGTTTACTTCCTGGAGGGGATTGTGAACCGGCGATCAATGGGTTGGCTGTTCTCTCCATGGTCCATTTACCAGGTTCAGACCTCCCCAGCTGTGGAGATTTGGCTGTTGTTTTGAGGATGTTTCGTGTGTCAGGTCAGTAGAAATCAGAAGGAAATCCTGAAAGTGTGCAGAATGGAGACAATATTAAATTAAGGGCATATCTGGGTTTGCCAGGGGGTTGGAAAGTTTCTTTGCCAGGCCCACCACCTGTACCCTATGTGAAGGCCCCTGATGCAGAAAGAGACCACTCTGTATCACTGCTGCTAGATATGACTTAGGTAGAAGGGAGTGGAGAAGAGGAAGGCTGGGAGGTAAGAGCAAGTGTGGAGTAGAGGGTAGGTGGGAGATGCTTTCTGAAAATTGTTTCTGCTTTCCAAACCACAACAACAAAGTGCAGAAAAGAAGCGGTGGCAGTATCTCGAAGTTACTTAATAGCCATCTTCCAGGAAACAGCGTTCACTAGGGCCCAAATCCTGAGAAAGGTTGAAAGCGTCAAGGAGCCAGTCAGCAGGGTTCTTAGCTGGGGTGGTTTCAGTGCAAACTATCCCTCAGCCTCATGTGTTTAGAAACCTGGTCACCAGCTCATGACACTTCTTTGGAAGGTTGTGGAACCTACGAGGTGAGATCTTGTTGAAGGAAGAGGTTTTATGGTACACTGCTTCCTGACTGCCATGAAATGTGACCAGGTCTCTCATGTTTCTGCTGCCACACCTTCTCCTGCTGTGGTGGACTGTATCCCTTTGAGCTGTAAGCCAAACAAACCCTTTCTCTCTTATGTTATATCCTGCCAGGCATTTAGTCAGAGAAGTAACTAATATACCAGCCATTTTCATTTCTACCTAAGACACTAAATTTCTCTGGGTCTACTTTCCTCAGAAAATGGGATTAATGATCTCAGCCTTACAGTTTGTCTGGTGAAATAAAATACTTTTAAAAGTGTTTTCTTATACTGTGGAGTGGTTAAATGTGACTTCAAAGTGAAATTAGACTTGGTCTGACTTTTAAATTTTTCATTGTTAATTATAAGCTTTAATAGCTGGATGGTCTGTTTATTAAACTCCTTGGCCTGGTAAAATTTGAAGGAAAGCAAAATAAAACATAATGAGGGGATGGAGAGATGGCTGTGTGGATAAGAGAACTCACTGTTCCTGCAGAGGACCTGGGTTTGGTTTCTGGTACCTACGTGGTGTGACTCATGATTGGCTGTAACTCCAGTTCCAGGGAATCTGATGTGGCACCAGGATGAATATGGCATACATACACACACTCATGCACACACATATCCACATGAAATAAATAGCAAATAAATCTTTAAAAAATAAGTAATGAACAAAACAGGAAGCTTGTCTACTATGAAAATAAATAGGGAAGGCGAGAATTCAGAATCTTACCTCAAGAACTTGAATGTCTGAATTGACAAATGAGATGTTGTAGGGGTTGGGGAGAGGAAATCCTTGCTGCAGTTTTGCTACAATGTAGAAAAAAGGTGGAAGGTAATTGGGCATGAGCAGTGACTTTTTTTGGCAGGTGTTTTAGAAAGAGAGGAACTAGAAGCTTTTTAATAGTTTATCTTATTGTTGTTCCCGGTCTTGTTTCAAAACACTTGTCCCTAGTGTTTTGCTGGACGAATTAGTAATTAATTTATATTCAGTAAAAATGTGCCTGTAATTATGTATATTTGGATACTAAACAAAATAAAACAAAACTTCCCATTTTCTCCAATTTAAGTACTAACCATGCCTGACTATGCTTTTCATTTTCTACATAGCCATAAAAGGTGTGTGTGTGTGTGTTTGTGTGTGTGTGTGTGTGTGTATACACAAGCATGTGTGTGCACATGTGTGAAGGACAGAGGATTACCTCAGGATCATCCCTCACTTCCATCTACTACCTTGGTTTATTGTTGCTTTTGAGATGGGGGTCTCTCATTGACCTGAAACTCCCAAATAGGCTGTGCTGGCCAGTGAGCCCCAGGGATCCGCCCGTCTCTGCCTGCATCAGCACTGAGATTGTAAGTGTGTACCATTGTGCCCAGCATTTTAAAAAATGGAGAAGGGAGATTCCTGGAGGATTGAATTCAGGTCTTTTTGCTTTCGAGGCAAGCATTTGCCAACTTAACTATTAGTCCAGCCCCTTATTTTGAAAATTTCTAATTTGTAGACTTGAGAACATTTTGTGTCTAATATAAAAAACATTTTAATTGAGCCAAACTCTGGATGCTTTGGATTGTAAGTCATTTTGGACGAGGGAGAGAACTAGGACTGTCATTCATTAAAGTGTGTGGATGAGGGAGAGAACCAGGTTGTCATTCATTGAAGTGTGTGGATGAGGGAGAGAACCAGGTTGTCATTCATTGAAGTGTGTCTTTCCAGACAGTAATCCCAGGGAACATAATATCATTTCTAGTTGACCTAAAGAAGATTTTACTGTCTAAGGACAGAAGTTTTATCTCTTTAACTCAAGCCAACGTAGCCTTTCCTGCTGAATGTGTAAATAGTTGTTAGCAAGCTTAAACAGGTTAACTGGTTTCTTCAGCTCTTAATGCTGTACACTGCAAAGTTCTGGCTCTGACCCAAATTCACAATAACACTCTAAACACACAGGCACCAGGGTAGAAAGTTCCAAACAAAACTGCAAGTGTAACCAACCCCAGAGTCCCATGGGTTTTTAAAGAATTCCTTACTATTAGCCAGTGGGAGGACTCCAAAGTGAAGAATGGAGGACAGGATATTCTCAAACCTCACGACCTAAGATGAAAAAGGAGACTTCATCAGTTGCCACATCAAGATTCTCTGAAAGCATCATGCCTGGTTTGGGTGTGCAAGTCCCCAGGACTCAGCAGGACAGAAAGCCATGTCTAGAGTTTCCCTGTGGGAACGTCCTAGCTATGTGGAAAGCCATGCCACACGGGCTCTTTTCTTCCTGGTGGGAGCGCACTTGTGTTTCCTTTTACGCTGGTGATGATGAACAGAGACCCAGGACGGTAGCAAAGCACGGTTTCGGTCAGACCCGGCAAATCGCGGAGAGCTAAGGGTTCCCCAGATGTCAGTCTTCCCTGTGTTTACCGGGAACCTCACCACCGGGCCTCCCTTTGCATTGCATCATACTCTGAACTTCACAGCACCGCCAGAACTCCCACTTTATCTTGAATAAATGGGTATTTGGATATCCCAGGCAGTGTTGCTCTCTGGAACCATCCAGGTATTAAAAGTAAATGGAGGTGGAGGAGGTGGTTCAGTAGTCAAGAGCACATACTGTTCTTTCAGAGGTCGGGAGTGCACTTCCCACTACCCATATCGGGTAGTTCACAACTGCCTGGAATTCCAGCTCCAGGGGATCTGATACCCTCTTCAGGACTTTGTGGGCACAGCACTCACACATGCAGATAGACACACACACACACACACACACACACACACACACACACACACACACACAAATAAATCTTGAAAAAGTAAGTGGACCTAGATGAACGGAAACTCATTTAGTAAATACATTTTTGTTTTTTGGCTGGGATAGGGTCTCACTATACAACCTCAGACTTGGGAGTCCTCATGTAGCCTAGGCTGGCCCTGAACTCATGTTATTATTGATTTACCCTTTCCTAATGCTGGGATTACAGGTGTTTGCCACCACACCTGGATCAGCGAAAACTTTTTAGGCATCCTGAAGTCAGTCTGTCTAGGCTTATCTCTCTTGTTTTATTTTTCCCCAGTTATTTTGTTGTATTGGAAGAATTATTCAATCTTCCAGGGCCTCAATTCCAACAACTATAAGATGAGGACAATAATAATAGGCTGTCATCATAATCACCACCATCATCACCACCACCATCATCATCACCACTATCATCATCATCATCATCACCATCATCACCATCATCATCATCACCACCACCATCATCATCACCACTATCATCATCATCATCATCACCATCATCACCATCATCATCATCACCACCACCATCATCATTATCAGGAGCAGCTTCTCATAGGTAGTTGTCAGAATTAGACAAGTTAATACTGTGCAAATGTTAGGAAAGAACCATTGCCATTTTTCTGAAATGCCATGGTCAGTACATTATGTTGTCAATGCTAGGCATTTCGCTGGGATTACAGATGTGCATCACCACACTCAACTTTGATACTGGCATGTCAGACTTCAGAGGCTGGCATGAAAGGTACGTCTTAAATTCCAGTGTATGGACTATATTGCTCCTGAATCATAATCTCAGAATTATCCTTGCAATGAAACATCTATTTTGGCCTCAGCTAAATTCGCTGACTTGACTAACATCCCCAGACCTGGTCCTGTCTTTTTTTTTTAATTGTTTAAAAAAATTTGTGTGCATTTTTTTTTGCCTACGTGTACATCTGTGTGAGGGTGCCAGATCCACTGGAACTGGGGTTATAGACAGCTATGAGCTACCATGTAGGTGCTGGGAATTGAACCTCTGAAGGAACAGCTGGTGCTCTTAACCTCTGAGCCATCTCTCCAGCCCCCTGGTCCTGTCTTACTGCCACCTTTCTGTTGGATGTGGCAACAATGAATTCAGTCCCTGTCATCTCCCATGCACTGCCTCATGAGAGACTAAGTGACCTAAGAACACACCACCAGGAAGTGGAACTTCACCCTTGCAGTCTGGCCTCAGAGTTAATGTATGAAACGATTATGCTCATTCTCCACTTACACAGACAAATGAACCAGTTCTCATGAGTGCAGGAACAATGGCCACCATTTACTTACTACCTGCCACCTACCACTGTAGATGTGTTGAGTGAACTGGGCTTCAGCAGATCTTCTCAACAACTCTGGGTGATCTCTAGCTCCATACCTGCTCCAATTGCCGATTCCTATTTTTCTACATTATTTTCAATACATGCACTGTGTATTTGTTCACTATTTGCACACTCAACTGGTTGCAAAAGCATATACATGTTTTCACATATTCTAAGACTGGGTTCCATATAGTAGCTCTATTGTTACTTTGGAAAGGATGTTTTGTTTCTTTTTTTTTGTTTGGGGGTTGGCTGGTGTGCTATGGGAAGCTTAGAAAAATTTCTGACATCTGTCCCTATATCACCCTTCTCCCCATCCCAGGTCATGATAGCCGTGGTCCCTAAAATGCTAAGTGGACCCCAGTGGAGAATCACTGCAGAGAAGGTTAATGCCATGAGGGGGAACATTTTTGTCTTGAACATTGCTATGTTCAGTAAGAAGCTGTAAATGACAGAATGACATTAAGAACGAAAGTTTACATATAGCTGAGCATGTGCTAGGTAGAGTTCTACTCAGGAGTTTTGATACCAAAATCTGTGTGATTCCACCCTCTACGATAGCGAACAAAGAAAGGCATGGACTTGGCTGACCTTTTTGACGTCTATGAGTCTGGACATTCCAAGTTACTTGTTGGGGTGTGTAGGGATTTGAATGAGAAATCTCCCACAGGCTCGTGTGCATTTAAACACTGGTCCCCTGTTGGTGGTGCTGTTTGGAGGTTATGGATCCCTCTAAGTCTGGCTGGAGGAAGTATGTCACAGGGGGCAGGCTTTGAGAGTTTATAGCTTCACTCTACTTCTTGCTTATTCGCTCTACTTCCTGTGTGTGTATGGAAATGGGCCTCTGCTGCCGGACCATGACATCCCTGCTCTTATGCATCCCTCTCTGGAACCATAAGCCAAACGAACCTTTCTTCTGTAAGTTGCTTTTGGCCATGGTGTTTTATTACAGCAACAGAAAAGGAGCTAAGACAACATGTCTACTCCCAAGATGGATGTGGGCTGGGTGCCTTTGAAGAATGCACTTAACTATGGAATTCTGAAACAAATTTAACTCTAGAGGATCATTTCATCTAGGAATCAACCCCCCTCCCCCGCATGAGAATGCCCAGTTTTCTAGCATCACACACAGTCTTTCCAGTTCTTTTGTAAGCCCTGTAATATAAGTAAAAGTATATTGCTAAGCTAATTGGCTTGATAAATGAGTACCACGAAAGCTCCAGGTTCAATCCCCTGTACTGCAAAATCAACCAAACTCATGAACAAGAAAAAAATTCGAAGCTAAAATTATGGAGAAATCAAGGACTCGGAGACACAGAAAACCACATGCACAGGCTACAGTACAACAGAATTCTGTTTCTTGTGCCTTTTTCAGGGTACATCTAGAGCTTGTATTCCTACCTTAGCATCTCTGTGGCTGTTCTCTGGCAAAGAGAGGCGGAATCTGAAAGGAAACAGGAAGAGGTTAAAGGAAGGTAGATTTATGGGGGTGGAGAGATGGTTCAGCACTTAAGAGTTAAGAGCAGTTTTTGCTCTTGTGGAGGACCAGGGTTCAGTCCCCAGTCTCCCACATGGTGACTCCCAACCAGCCTGGTCTACAGAGCAAGTTCCAGGACAGCCAGGGAAAGAAACCCTGTCTCAAAACAAAAACAAACAAACAAACAAACAAAAATGAAACAACAACAAAATAATAAGAAACAACACAACAAAAAAGACTAGGCGACCTCACCATGGAAGGTTTTGAAGATGAAAGATGATGGCTGTGGCATGGAGAGACGACTGATGGCCAAGAGCTTCTCAGGTGCTCACCCGGTGCTCAGCCATGTGAAGAATTTAATTTAAATGTGATGATATAATGTGGACACCGGTGTTCTTTTGTGAGTTTACAAGGGTGCATGTGTGTGAGAGAGAAGTGGGGGTGGGGGAGGCATTAGGGGGGCAAACAAGTTGTCCTTTGAGGGAAGCATTCCTTTCGCACCTCTAGAAGGACACTTCACACCCGCTAATCGCCTGTTCCTCTCCCAGAACCAAGAGCAATACATGGCACAAAATAAGGGCCCAAGAAATCTTCCCTGACTGCATGCAGAGACAGAGGAGCAGACAAAGGGGTGGGTGGGGATACTAGCTGGAATAGGGGATCCCTTTGAGATGGAAGGAATCTAAAGATAGTTCTAGGAAGATGGAGGAGCCAGGGTGGGGGCACTGGGTTAGGGTTTGGAAGCCAGGCCCAGCAGGTGAAGAGCCAGAGCAGGGTGCTTTCCTCCACGCCTTGGGCTCCCCTCTTTCTCTGGCCCCCCCTTCCCATGTTTGCCACTGTGCTTCTGCTTCCCGGGGTTGACCTCCTAGCAGAGATCAAACAGCTTGGCTTTTCTTTCCTCCTTTGGGAAGCTGCTGAGATTTACAGCTTGTCTGCTCCAGGGTCTTCCTTTTAAACTCTAATACAATTGCCCTGGAACCTAAAGCTAAGCTAAACAAGAAACGAAACAAGAAACCACCCATCAGGCTGTAGGTGTGACCTTTAGTTATAGGTTTTGTGGGAGAAATGCCCTCTTAAGAATTTAACCGTAGTTCCTCCTCGGTGGCCTGGAAATTCTCCCGAGAAGGATCTGTTTAGATTTTCCTCCTTTGCCAAGAATCCAAAAGCACCCTTACGATAGAAACCGCAGATGCATTCTATCTGGACACGTGTTCCTGATGCCTCATGTTGGGAAATATTTCCCTGCCCAGCCTGTGAGGAGGAGAGCATTTGTGTTTTCTGACTACATTGCTTGGGAGGGGCTGTAGGGTGTGTGTGTGTGTGTGTGTGTGTGTGTGTGTGTGTGTGTGTGTGTGTGTGTTGATGACTAGGGCATTTGGGAATGTCCAGAGTCTTCATTATAGAAAAGTTAAAAATTGTTCCAAAGTTAAGTGAATCAACAATAATGTACATTTGATTACCTCAAGGTGTTTTGTATATGTGTGTACACATTCCCATGTGTGTGTGCATGTGTGTGTGCATGCGTGCTCACGTGTTGAAGGCCAGAGGTCAGTGGTGGCTGCCCTCCTCTGTCACTCTCCCCCTTATTTTTTGAGGCAGGGTCTCTCATTGACCCCGGGACTCCCTGATTTGGCTAGGCTGGCTAGTCAAGAGCTCCAGGGACCCTCCTGTCTGCCTCCGTTGCTCTGGGGTTACAGACATTTACCTTAGCACCTGACCAGCTTTCTCTGTGTAGTTTTGGTGCCTGTTCTGGATCTCGCTCTGTAGACCAGGCTGGCCTCAAACTCGAAGATGCGCCTGGCTCTGCCTCGCGAGTGCTGGGATTAAAGGCGTGCATCACCACCGCCCAGCCTGACCAGCTTTTTATGTGGGTTCTGGGGATCCTCCTTGTCTTCAGCACTTCACAGACTGAGGCGTTTCCCCAGGCCCTGACTGCCTTGAGTTTTACAGATTGAGGGTTAGGATCAAGTTATCTGAATGAAGACCAAGAAAGAGAAAGTATCATTTAACTTGGTCTATGGATGAACAAAATACCTACTATGTGCTAGAGATGCCTCCAACACAATTCTGTTTGGCTCAAGAGGCTCCATGACAAAACAGTAGGAATCTGCTGTATGATGTGGAGGGCCAGTGCTATAGCTTTTAAGGCCATTCTGACTTGTCATGCCTCTGGGGACCAATTTCCACATCTTATGTGGTCAAACTTGGATCCTGGAATGTGAAGCAAGGATTAACTACCAGGTCTGTGGCAATGGTTAGGCTCTGTGCAGGGCTTCATACCCATCACCTGATCCACTCATGCATCAGCTCTATGCAGAGGTGAGAGGTGTGATGTTTATCTGATGAGGAAACTGACATTTAAAGCTTAAATAGCTTGCTTCAGGCCACACAGCTACCAAGTAACAGACAGAATCCAAGTCCAGATCCAGCTGACTCCAGACACTGAGGTTCTGACTAGACATTCCCAGAGAGGTTAAGCTTGTAATCAGCATCCCTGGCTGTCAGTTTCTTTTGTCCCTTCCTCTGATTGATTCCAGTGAGAACAGAGCTGTGTGCCTTTTCTGTCCAGGACACTCTGTTCCACGTCTTCTCTTTCGCCTTTTAACACTTAGTATTGAGAAACGATTTATTGTCTCTTTCAGTTTTGCATGACACCAGGTTCACGGGTGTCCTGATCCAGACAACCGTATTTATTTCCTAAGTCCCAGGCCTAGGTGCCATTTTCTATGTCTTAGCTCTTCCCTATGCCAAAGGCAAGATAACACTGTAGTTAAACACCCACGGCTTTGAAATAGGTTCTGGTCCAGTCACTGGGCAGCTCTGTGACCTTGAGGGTAAGTTATCTAAGCTCAGGGACCATCAAGTCACCTCTAGGTGCTCACTTATCCTACAGAATTACTGAGCATGGGTGTCAGGTCATGAAATGGGGCTGTGAGACTTAAGTGACATGTTTGGTTCTATGCTGGGTCTCTGGGCTGTCCTGCCTCTGGTTCCTGGCCATCCAGGCAGTGTCAGGTGTGGGCTCCCACTTGTGGCTCCTTTCCTCCTATTGGGTTGCCTCATCCAGCCACGATATGATATGAGGGTTTGTGCCTTATTGTAACTTGTTAGGCTGTATTCAGTGGATACCCCTGTGAGGCCTGTTCTCTCTCTCTCTCTCTCTCTCTCTCTCTCTCTCTCTCTCTCTCTCTCTCTCAGGGAAACAGAGGAGGAATGTATCTGGGGGAAAGGGAGGTGGGGGAGTGACTGGGAAGAGTGGAGGGGGAGGAAATTGCTGTCCCGATGTAATGTATAAGAGAAGAATAAAAGAAAAAAAGATTTCAGTGAAGTAAAGTGGGTGCTGTGCTGAGTGAGGCCCCGGGAGGGAGACTTGAAAGCTCAGCAATAAAGAGGAGTAGAGGATGGTGTCTCCCACAGAGGCGTGAGGGCTTCTCAACAGGGACACTCGTGAAATGATTTTGTAGGGGCTAAAGGGGTAGCTGAGTGTTAGAACACTTGTTTAACATGCAAAGCCTTGAGTTTGATTCCCAGCAGAGAGAGAGGCACAGAGAGAGACAGAGAGAGAAACAGAGACAGACTGGGGGGGCGGGGAGAAAGAGAGAGAGAGAGAGAGAGAGAGAGAGAGAGAGAGAGAGAGAGAGAGCGCTTTGAGCAGCAAATAGACACATATTATGGACTCACAATGTCACAACCTTCTAAAACAGGTTTTATAAGAACATCATTATATGGAGAAGGAAATAGAGATCCAGAGAGGTTAAGTAACTTGCCTGAGACTACACAGCTGATCAATGGCAGTGCTGGGACCTAAACACAGCTAGGCATGCTCTCTAACTCATCATAATCACACCCCCTCAGGTTTGCTTCGATGTCCGTATCTCTCACAGCCAAGCAGCTCAGCCAGGGTTGGTCAGAGGGGATGCTGGGAGTTTATTTGGAGACACTGTATTGCCTGGTTCTTCCCCTTTGATGTCTGTCTCATGGATTCCCAACCACGCCTCGCCTTTCCGGATGACTCTCAGTGACATTGGCCACAGACTAAACCAGCTCAGCCTGAAAGGCAGACTAGAGTGGAGGAGGGGCCGTGATGTGGGAGGCGGGGCTGCTGCTCCCACTGCTGAGGACAAGACAGCCTTTCAGCACAGCCTGGGCAGCCTTGCTAAGCTGCTCTCTGGTTGGGTGGCCAAGTGAGGCCTGACCCACAAACCTTGCCCAAAGCCGGCTCAGTGCCCGAGTTTAAGACAGCATCTTCTGCAGGAGCCACCTTCAGACTCCTTAGTTTCTACTCTGACATTCTTCATAATTTTTTAAAAATCTTGTGTGTGTGTGTGTGTGTGTGTGTGTGTGTGTGTGTGTGTGTGTGCATGTGTGTGTGATATGCTCATCTGTGTGTGCACCTGTGAAGGCAAGAAGTCCATGCCACATGTCTTCCTCATTCTCTATTTTACTTATCTATCTATCATCTATCTATCTATCTATCTATCTATCTATCTATCTATCTATCTATCTATCTATCTATCATCTATCTAATTATCTATCTATTTATTTGAGACAAAGTCTTCCACTGACCTTGGAACTCATTGTTTTAGCTAGTCTGGTTGCAGCGAATCCCCAGAATCTGCCTGTTTCTGCCCCTCAGCACTGAGGTTAACTGTGCACCACCATGCCCACAAGGGTGGCAGAGATTCAAACTCAGGTTCTCATGCGTATTCAGTAAGCACTTTTCCCACTGAGACACCTTCTCTGCCCTTCTTCATAATTCCTGAAGTAGGAGAGCTGCATTTTCCTTTCTACCCAGATTTGACTAAGACATCAGGGCAGGGGAACCTCCCAATCCGTGAATCTCAGGGAGACGAGGCAGGAGCCCTAATTTCAGGGTTCATCATCACAAGGTCAGAGTAATCTCAGGACTATGGGAAGCTGGAAAATGAGATGGTATGAATTTAGTGGGTTTAAATCCATTTTAAAAATCATTCCCTTAAGTAACCATAACACTGGCTCCTGGCTCTCGTGGTTGCTAGGAGGTCTCAGAGAGGCCAGGATCCATGGGAGCAGAGCAACCAGCCCAGTCCCCCTGACCAAGCTTGAAATAACCACCATTATCGAATCCTTCCTTTGGAATTGGTCAGGAACATGGAGACCTGTCAAACCCGGGCACTGTTTACCTTACCGAGCACCCGCTGCCGCAGTCAGCGGTCTCATCCTGCGCCTCTTTTTCTCACCTGCTCTCTCCTCTCTGTCCCTGTCACCTCAGGTCTTAACCTGTGCTCACAGTCCCATGCTGAAGCAATTCAGTCTGAATTTTCTCCCGCCTTCATTTTGGTCCACGCAGATGCTGAAGAATCTTTACCTCTTCATTTACCTGCTCTCTGCTCTCCATCCACTGGCCTCTCAGAACTGCCACCTTGAGAGTCACCCATTATGGCTCTCAGTTTTATCTGCCTGACTCCCTAGAAAAAGGGCCACCTTGGGGTCTCCAGACAATTGAGAGTGTTGTGCTTGTTCCACAATAATTGTTTTTGAAATTATAATAATTATAATAATTGTTTTGAAATTATTGTTGGTATAAACTTAGTGTAATAAATTCTGGGTTATATTTCTTTTCTTTTCTTTCTTTCTTTTCTTTTTTCTTTTTTTTTTTTCTGGAGCTGAGGACCGAACCCAGGGCCTTGCACTTGCTAGGCAAGTGCTCTACCACTGAACTAAATCCCCAACCCCCTGGATTGTATTTCTTTAGGGTCTTATTTTAAGGTACTTGAATGTATTGTCCTTGGTCACTAAGTCTAGTGAACTCTGGACCCTTCTGAGAAGTCAGCTGTACTTGGAGGGTAAGTTTGAGTAAAGAAGCCTTTTCTTTGTGGGAGCCTATTCTACAGGTACCCTTTCCAACTGGGTTCCTCTTATTGTAAAACAGTATAGCATAATGACTATTTTAATGAAAAACTCCAATCTCCTAATCTCATAATCTTGGATCCTGATTTTTTTTTTTGAGGGTGTGATGACTGATCTAGTTTTCTGTCTAGGTATGAAGCTTTTCGTTGTACAAATGGTTATTGTATTTACGCAGTTTTGTATTTTTTTTCTACTTAACATGATTTTATTGTAAGAGTTTTCCATGTTCCTACAGTCCTGTGCCTAGCCATTAGGTGGCCTTAGGAAGGTAGACTGACTTTCTCCTGTTGGTTTCTCAGTTCTTTTTTTTTTTTTTTTTTT